ATGCCCTTCCCAACTGAACACATCAGAACTCAACTGAAGGAGACGGCTGTGCAAATTTATTGGAAACCAAATAAATCACTACGGAAACTGTCTCCCAAACCCAGCGAGAACACAGTAAGCTGACCAGTGCCAGGATCTGAATACGTGCAGATCCAAACTCCGCCCCCTTCCCTGGTGGGCGTACTTACAGTGGGGGTGTCGCCATGCCATTTGTCAGCATGCAACCTATAAAAATGAAAGGGACTCCAGTTTTCAACATCACAGTCCCTCTGAAACAACTGGTGGTCAATTAGCGTTTGTCTCCAGCAAAACTCGATTTTCTCCCCTGCACGTGGAGGTGAACACACAGAAGAGACTGATGATCCCCGCTGTGAGTGTAGCTAAGTGTGTCTAAGCAAACTGGCTCCATCAGCCTCCTGATGAGCAGTGGAGTGTGTGAGCCGCAGGGCTCTGCACACTAACGGCCAGGCAAGGAGGGCTCTTCCTTACATTGGGGAGAAAAAGGCAGGAGCAGCACTCGCTGGAAATAAATTCTAATTAAACCTTCAGATGCGGTTCCTGCAGCAGAACCCACGCCAATAGATGAGGCTCCCTCCGTGCTGTCCAGTCATGTAAGCCAGGCTCATTAATATACCTGTGTGTTTGGTTTAGCAAGTGAATCTTGTCTGTTTTCTGGAAATTACATGAGGGTGGAAAACCTTCCAAACATGTTCATTTATTTGCTGTGGAATTTGTTTAATCCTCTTAAGAGCATTTAGAATGACAACCTTCTTAAATTAGCATGTTTGCCCAAGAGACCTTTCCAGGAACATGCGCCGAAACCTAGGACAACCCAGAAACAAATTCTAAACCGTTTCAGCTGCACAGCACCACAGAATGTGTCCAGTCTGAGAATCAAGGATTTTTTCTCCACACACTTTTCCTCCTCTGCCCAAATTAATCAGCCTCTGCTGCTCTTGTATACTGAGTATCGTATGACTCATCTTCTCTGCCTGTAAAATGGAAAAGGGAAATACTCCTGCCCAATAAAACGTCATAGAACTAACCCCCAAAATTATATATATTTAAAAAAAAAACAGGGCTTTATTCTGTCCAGGGATATGAATCGTTTATTTAATGTGTCAATTGTTACTAGAATAAACTTTTCAAAATGTAACCCCTCCTCAGAAAACTTCAACTACTATTCAATGAAAATATCACAGAAAAGTTCTGAAAAGAATTAAAA